TAAAACTCTAGTGATCACCTGACTTCCAAAAGCTCCTACTCTGAGTGGTAGACTAGAGTGACACTGTGGGTCTCCTAGAGTTAGTGTTGGTTCAGAGTCAGTATCTAACAGTCCTTGCAGAGTCTGATTATGCTCTTCCCCTTACTTCAGCTTGGTACAAGCAAGACCTGTTTGGTGAAGGATGATAGAAAGATTAAAAGTATAATTTTGGGGCAGTGTGGTGTCATACTTCTTCAAGGGGACCTCGTCTCCTTCATTCAAACGGTTTTGAGTTTGCGAACTAGCTCCAGTCTGGGAATTGAGAGGATTTGACTTTCTTTATATTTCAAGTTAGACTTTTCTTCCCTGACTTAGAACTCTTCTATTTTGTCATGCTTTGGTTATAAGGTGTCCCCTAAAAGCTCCTGGGTTAATGCAGAAATGTTCAGAGGTGAAATGATGGGATTGTGAGAACTGTAACCTAATTAGTCTATTCTAGTTTGAATAGAATTACTGCATGAGGTGAATCATGGGATTGTGCCTAGGAAGGGTTCATCTTCCCCACAGCCCCTTTCCCTTGCTCTCTTTGCTTCCTGGATACCATAAATGGAGTAGAACTCTTCCACCATGTCCTCCCGCCATGATATTCTGCCTCACTTTGAGTCCAAAGCAATGGAGTCATCTTACCATGGACTACCCTTATGACACTTGAGCCAAAATAAACTTTTCCTCCTCTCAGTTGTTTTTGTCAGATATTTTGGCCATAGCAACTAGAAGCTGACTAACACATACTTGTACAGACTAAGAATTTAGTAAACTACCAGTCAATTTCTATTCTAGGAATACCATGATCAGTTGCACAACTCTATAGTTCTCCAAAACTATTCCAATTAACTGCTCTGACTCTGGGGTCATGACAGTAACCACACCCATTTATGTTTAGTGAATAAGGGCCTGGGTCCTGTCAGCCGACCTTAAAAAGATATACCTGTACACCCTCTTACCTCAGTCCCTATTAGTCTGTTTCTCTGAAAAACCTAGCAGTGGAGGGCAAGGAAGAGAATACTCATTTATGGAGCAGGTATGGGCTAGTTTTCTAGGGATTAAGGAAAAAAAAAAAAGGATTTGATTCAGTTACAAAATTCAAGAACATACAAAGTATTTTTTTTTTTTAATTTCCTGGATTTTATTCAGCAACATCATCAAATTTTGATAACTGTTGAATGAGAATTCGTGGAAGTTATAATAAGATGACTCTGAAAAGCAGTTACTCACTGAAAATATGCAATCAAAATCGTATTTTTATATAAGTACACATCTAAGAACTGAAACTTGGTAAGAGAGCCCAAATTATCCCAGGAATGAAAAGCTATATGACTTCAGGCATAGCTCCAAAAACAAGCAAAAGACTGCAGGTGCTTACATTGCTTTGCTTTGTCCTCATCCACGTTGGCCTCGTCGATGGCTTGCTGTATCTCATCCAGCCAAAGAACTTTGGAAGCACTCTCAAGATCCTAGGAAAAGTGTCAGAGGTGGTTATGGGATGGAATCAAGAACCGTTTTTCAGAGTCATGGTACTATAACTTCCACAAATTCTCATTCAATAGTTATCAAGTCCTGCCATATAAAGCACATGCTATTAATGAGCAGAGTCCAAATCTGACCACTTCTCCCTTCCTTGCTCCTTCCCTTGAGTCTGGCCTACCCTCGTCTCTCAAGTGGACAGCTACACTGGTCCCTTTATTTGCTTTTGCTGCTTCCAAGTTTGCTCTGTTCCTTGGTGGTTCTCGACATAGAGCCACAGGATATCTTCAACACAGATGTCTCATGATCCCACTCATCAGCTAACCTCTCCCAACCTTCCCCTGCAGTTGGAAGGAAACACAAAGCACAAAGCCTCTTCTCGTGGGCTTTGGGGATTCAATGATCTGCCTACTCCTCCAGCTTCACCTCACACCCTTCTGCTTCCCTATTCCAGAACTTCACACCAGTTTCCTTCAGACTACAGCACTCCACCCTTTCTGTGAGGCTGCTCTTTCCCCCTCATCATTCAGGCCTTAATTCAAATGCTTCCTTCTCCAGAAAGTCTTCTCTGGCTACTTAGTCAAATACTCTCTCTCCTAAGCATTCAAAAACCGTCAGTTCCAAACTATGTGCCAAGGGATATTTTAAATTTAAGGGAAACACAGTGATATTCAGCATTTATCAGAGAGAGAGAAAAATGTTCTCAAGGACCTGACAGTCTAGTGGAAGAGACAGATGTGTCAAGAAATAATTATAATACATATTTTAAAGTAATTATGATTGGGGCAATCTTAGCTGTAGACACATGATCAAGGAGGAGTTCAATAGTAGGGGTCTTAAGTTGCAACAGAAGAAAAGAGTAGTTAAGGCTAGCATTTGAAAGCAAGTGATAGCAGCAATGAAAAAGTACTGAATGATTTTCACTATTTTCCTTTGGGTTGGTCCTGATGAGACTGCTACAAATGTGGTGCTGGGATCTATTAAATGGGATTCCTGGACAGATTTATAAAAACTTATCCAAGATGGCAAGAAATTTTTATCCAAGGAAATAAAATATTTTCAGGAAAGACATGACATTCCACTTAAAAAATGGGAACATTTAAATATGTGTAGGGATTAAGTGCTGTGTTCTAAATTCTGAATCAAGGCTATGACAAATGGAAACAAGTGACTTGGTATTGCAACCATACAGAACCAATTCCATCACTTAGGACTCAAGAAGGATGGGGAGGGGGAGGAAGAAGAAGTAACATTTACCAGCTTTTCTGGTAGGCTTCTAACTTGCATGTGCCAAGGGCTCTGAAAATGAGATAAAATATGGGCCATTTCTTTTTGCATCATTGTTGTTAATAGAGTTCTGGGGAAGGCGTGGTATATCTTCCTCAATCATCTCTAGTTATGGCTGTCACATGGGAGCCACCAGTTGTTAGTATTTTTCATCTCTTTCTAAATGAAACTTTGGATGGGTTATAGTCAATCAGGAAGCAATGTCAGGAGAAGCCTGGAGGAAGAGGAGGAGGAGACAACAGAAACTGGACTACCTGTTCTCTATTTCTAAGTCCAAAGAGACCCAACACTCCCCAGGAACAGCCTATAAACTGAGTTCCATACAAGTTCATTTATATGTCCATCTCAGGGTTTTCTTGAAGGATATTATGTTCATTTATAACTGATTACTGCAGAAGATGCACCACTTCTGACTTCTGCCAGAAGAGAACATAGTCACAATCCTATAATCCTTCTTCAAAGATTAAAATATTATAAATTAATCTAAAGCAAGACTTTGCAAAGCCAAATCAAAATCAACAGTTTAAAGTGTGACATGCTGAACTAAGTTAAACACAAATTCAAGGTAAAAGTGATATCCTGGGCTGGAGGTATAGCTCAGTGATAGAACACTTGTTTAGCATTTGTGAGACCCTGGGTTCCATCCCCTAAGCACTGCCCAAACCAACAACTACAACAATAAAATGTAGAGTCTCCTTTCAATTACTCACTAGAAGACTGAAAAGACTATGGGATGGCTAGGTCACCACCCTCAGCTAAACAGCCAGGTTCAACATGTGAGTTACAAATGAATTAAATGACCAGAAACCAGAGCATGTGCAAATCAAGCCATAAACTCCTGAATTTAGATGACTCTTAGAAACATTTTAAACAACAACAAAACTTCTTCATGTCTTAATGATTTTTAAAAATTATTGTTTGCCATATAATAGCTTCAATCTCGCTTTGTGTTATCATATATTATTTAGCTGAAGTATGAAACATCAACCTTTGTAAAAATCTTGATTTGATTAAACTTAATTAAGATGTCTATACACATTATCACTTCCTTCCTAGTTTATCTTACCTTTTAAGTCTCACAAAATTTCATTTTCTGATTTTGCCATATTTTTATAGCCAGGAGGCTGGCTGGCTTAGAGTTTAATCATTTTATTAATTATAGGCAAATTTATAGTGCAGCTTTTTCTTTCTTTCTTTCTTTTTATTGTACATTAAATTGTACTCTCCAGAAAATAACTACTCATGAAAGCTTAATATATGTTGTACAACAATGTGAATATACTTAACACATTGGAACTATGAACTTAAATTGTTAACGTGGAAAATTTTACTTATGTATATGTTATCACAATTTAAAAAATCTTATTGTATAACCAACACTTATGGAGTCCTCTGCATTTCAATGTTGCATTATGATTTCAATTCAACCAAATAGTGTTGGTCGGGGATGGGTCTCTCTGGTTACGTGACCCTATAGAGTTACTAAATGGCTCAGAACACATGAACTATGGCAAACAAGTGACTCCTCTTTCTCCAAACAACAACAAATATAAAAGTAAGTTCTGGCCAGCCACTGGTGACAAGTTCAGACCAATATGACATTGGCAAAGAATTTTCTTCTTTTTTCTTTTTGGTACTGGGGATTGAACTGGGGCACTTAACCATTGAGCCACATTCCCAACCCTTTTTATATTTTATTTAGAGACAGAATCTTGCTAACTTGGTTAGAGCTTTTTAAGTTGCCAAGGCTGGCTTTGAACTCCCAATCCTTCTGCCTCAGCCTCCTGAGCCTCGGGGATTATAGGCTTGCACCCCTATGTCTGGCAACACAGAATTTTCAAAGAAATCAAGCACCTAAACAATTTTTATTTCTTAAAATTTGAAACAGCTGGCAGAATAAAGTTAAGGATAATTTCTGACTGTTCAACTACAAAGTAACTTTTAAAATGAGTAAAATTAGATATGGGACAGTTTCAAAACTAACTGCTGCTCTGCATCTGTTTTTCAGCTTAGTTCTTATAAAGGGCTCTCTACTTTCTGTTGTTTTTAAAAAAATGCACATAAACACACCAGGTGAAAATTACAGCATCTGTTCAGACCAGATTTTTGGGTATGGGTAAGAGTTAAATGATTTTTTTCATGGATAACGAAACATGCTCAGAAGCTCAGCCTGAGTCATGCATACTGAAACATTGAATTGGTCATATCCTTTCCCTGCAGAGGACTCAGGCAAGTTCCTGCCGGCACAGGCCAGGGTAGCACACTTCTATGGACAGAACAAGCTTTTGTTACTAACATAAGGAATTGAGAGGAAACTGTGCTCTGTGGTTTTACACATTTGATAACGTTAGAGAAATTGGACTCAGGTCATTGAAATGAAAGCCCTCATCTTTACAGCTGCTGGACTACTTCTTCTGTCACCCATGTTTTGTGGAAGTGGTAAGTTCTTTTCTTCTGGAGTAGGAGGGTGGGGAACTTGTTTGTATCACAAAAGCCAAGTGAACCTAATCTTTGTATCTGACAAAAACCTTAGAGTCTGATCTTGGTTATCAAAAGGTATGATCATGGAAGTCAGAATGTACAGTTTGTGCACTGGTCAATTTTTTTGGGGGGGGGTATTGGGGATTGAATTCAGGGGCACTCGACCACTAAGCCACATCCTCAGCCCTATTTTGTATTTTATTTAGAGACAGGGTCTCACTGAGTTGCTTAGCACCTTGCTTTTTGCTAAGGCTGGCTTTGATCCTCTTGTCTCAGCCTCTGGAATCACTGGAACTACAAGTGAGCACCACCGCACCTGGCTCACTAGTCAAATTTCATCAAAGACTAATATCTCCTGATATTTAAAAGTGTTGCCTCGTCAAGATTTTAGACAACTATAATTAAGTCAAGAAACAACTTTCTCTGTGAGAAGTTCTGTGTTCCTTAGGAATTTCCTCTGATTAGGAAAGACAGCACTTTTTCAAGGGATTAAAAAAATCCCGTGTTTATACTTTCTGGTGAGACACAAATGGGGGAAACAAGAATATTGCCTGAAAGAGTCATTTGCCTTTAGTAGCTTGTGATGCCAATACATTAGTATTTCCAAAATGGAATAGTGCCAGGGAGTCCTCTCTACCCTTATAAATGAATTTTTATGATTTTAGAAATACTGTTTCCAAATACTGTTATGCTACCATGAATGTTTTCTGTTTTACCCATCACAATGCTAGCCTGCTACGCTACTTGTTCTGAAGTTCATTGTTCCATCCATGATTTGGGATGGAGCTATATCCACAAATTTTTTACTGTTAGGTCACACTCCACTACATTGGTAGGAGTGGGAAAGGTAGGGGCACAAGGCATAAAACACCCCAAATTAAACCACTACCACCATCACCACCACCACATTCCTTGAGTAAAGTAAAGGAATGTTGCTTAAATTGATAGTTGGAGGTCATTAGGTCACCACAGAGAGAGCCAAGGGAACTTATAGATGGTGTAGCACTTGAGAGGATAAACATGTAGTCACTCTGGGATCAATGAACCAAAAAGTTGAGCAGCATTGCAGCGACAAACAAGGTTGATGAGGGAGGTTCCTTCAAAGGTTTGGTGAAAGTGAAATAGGGAACTTAAGAGACAAAGTGGGGCTGGGGTTGTAGCTCAGTGGTAGAGTGCTTGTCTAGCATGTGTGAAGCCCTGGGTTTGACCTCAGCACCACCTAAAGATAAATAAAGGTATTGTGTCCATCCACACACACACACACACAAAAAGACAAAGAAAAGGGCAGTGAGTTCCTTTTCTTTGACGGGGTCAAGGGAAGATGTAAAGGGAGAACCCATCCATGGTGAGGGAAATCTGTTCCCTGTGGACTAGCTCCTCTCCAAGGCCTTTTCCCAGGTGGAAATCATTCCACAATCATGATGCCAAATGGAAACCTATATATAAAGAATTCAAATAAACTTAAAAAATAAACTTAATGATAAGCACTATTCTTAAGATCAGGCTCTGAGGACTAAAAGACTTATTAAGTGGAATCAGATCCAGAGTTCTCATGGAAAACTGGATTCGAATCAACTTTTCTACCAATGAGTCACTGTTGAGCATGCCCACAGGCACCATGTCTTGCTTAATCACAGGGATTTTCTGAAAACTAACAAACACTTGGTTTCAACAGCTCTCTTATCAGATCCTGAGGGGAAATCTCTTGTACAGCATGGTCTGCAGTTACCATTCTCTAGCTTTCTGCTTATCTTTCTTTACAGGAATCTACCTCTCCTTAAGTCACATAAGACCCAAGATCTTTTACCAAATGCAAAAAAGAAAAAAAAACATGACGGATTTGTGCATTGAGTTCAAATGTCTAACAGCATCCCTTCAGTGATCATGTCTAAACACAGGCCCTGAAGAGTGCTGCCCTCCAAATTCTTTCCTTTTCTCTAATCCACCTTTCCTTTAGTGACATCTGATCACCTTTAGGTCTCCAGTTGTTCAGATCACATTTTCTCCATCTTACACACTGAAATCAGTTTGTGCAATCTCAGAGTTACAAGGGAGGCTTCAATTTCCCCTGGGAGGAAGCCACTAGAGATTAGAAACTGGCTCTGAATGATGAACAATTTGGTAGACACTAACTTCAACATTTTTTTTAATTTGTTCTTTTCAGTTATATAAGATAGTAGAACATATTTTGGCATATTATCCATACATGGAGCATGACCCATTCTAATTAGGATCCTATTCTTGTGGTTGTATATGATATGGAGTCACCCTGGTTGTGTATTTAAAAACAAAACTAGGAAAGTTATGTCTGATCCATTCTACTATTCTTCCTATTCCTCTCTCCTTTCCTTTCATTCCCCTTTGTCTAATCCAATGGACTTCTATTCTTCCGCTCCCTACCATCTGTTGTTGTGGGTTAGCATCCACATATCAGAGAGAACATATGGACTTTAGTTTTGGGGATTGGCTTATTTCACTTAGCATGACATTCTCCATTTGCATCCATTTACCAGCAAATGCCATAGTTTCATTCTTCTTTATGTCCGAGTAATATCCCATTGAGTATATATACCACATTTTAAAAATTCCATTCATCTGTTGAAGGACACCTAGGTTGTTTTCTTAGCTTGGCTCTTGTGAATTGAGCTACTATAAACATTGATGTGGCTTTGTCACTGTAGTATGCTGATTTTAAGTCCTTTGGGTATAGACCAAGGAGTGGGATAACTGGGTCAAATCATGATTCCATTCCAAATTTTCTAAGGAAACTCCATACTGCTTTCCACAGTTAACCTCAAGTATTCAACACAAAGAAATTCAGAGGTCATGTGGTGAGTTATACCTGGCAGAGTACTGGCATTTTAAATTGACAAGAGGTTTTTATAAGGCATAAAAGGCACATACATCTAGAAGGTCATATTATAAATCAGAGAGAATGTATTCTCTATAAACATCCAGAATTAATTTATGGGAAACTTATTTGCATATTAAGGTTTACATATTGAGGTTTATTTATTTTTTAAATTGCCCTTTCAAGAATTAGGATTATTAATGTCAACATGCCAAGTAATGCCAAAAACTTATAGCATATATGTTTCATTCCTTTTAAAATATTCATTTCTAATATCTTAAGTTATTTTAACAATTTCATTTTCTGATTTTCTTCCTTTGTCTTCTCTCCCCTTAATACCTGGCATTTTCCTTAGTCGGCCTTTGGATTCTTCTCACATCTCTTGGTAGGCCATACCTACCACTCCTTCTAAATTAAATGATGGCCTCTGTACAGACTAAAAAAATTCTTACCTCTAATTTGGACTCCTGGAATTTTGGATTCCACATCTGGTTATCTAACCAGTTGCTGGCATTTTACATACTAACATTCCATCAGCAACTGCACCTCAGTAATACTAAAAACAGGGTTTAATTTCTCCCTTATCTGCTTCTTGTCTCTTGTCCTAAATTCAGGTAATGCATCCTCCTCTGTCAAGTCATCTAGAGTAGGCACCTTTGAGTCAGCTTGCCTCCTGCTCTTCCACTGCTGTCAGATGCAAAGTCCCTGTGAGCTCTGCTCACCGCCTTTCCATGTTGTTTGCTCTAGTTCGGTTACTCACCATTCCTTAAAGTTTGAATAATAGCAGCCTCCTATCAGGCCCCCTTGTCTCCAATTTCTTCCTGTTACAATCTATTCTCTAGTATGCTAGCACGAAAGCCATCTTAAACATGAGGTCAAAATCACAATTATATTAGCTTCCTATTGCTGCTATAACAAATAATCACAAATTTAGTGCTAAAGTACAGGTTTATTATTTGATATTTCTGATGCTCAGAAGTCTTAAAATCAAGGTGTTGGCAGGGCTGTAGGAGAGAATGCTTCTTTGCCTTTTCTCAGCCTCTAGAAACTTCCTGTATTCCTTGGATCGTAGCTCCTTCTTCCATCTTCTAAGCCAAGTAGCACACATTATCTTTCTATGTCCCTCGCCTCCCTCCTATAAGGACTCTTACATTTCGCCCATGCTTGGACAATCCAGAACTCTCTTCCCATCTCAAGTCTCTTATTTATACCTACAAAATCCCTTTATCATATAAGGTAACATATTCATAGGGGGTTCAGGGATTAGCAGGTGGGATCTTTATGTGTAGGAGTACCATTATTCTAGCACAATGGTCATTCCTCCATTCAAAGATGTACATGCAACTTCTGTATTTATGGAGTTCATTGAAAATTTTATACCATTGGCACATAAGCATACAATAAACATTTGCTGAACTAGCATCTCGCATCCCCAGATCCTATGCCAGCCTATATTATGCCTTTGCCCATGCGTCACAAGCAGGATAAAATTAATCTATTTATAAATTCCATTTCTTTATAAGCCATGGTTATCTTTACTCAGTTTTGTCTTTTCCTTGACATTTTGTTTAAATGCCCAAATCTGTTAGATATTGTCTGAATACCTATATAGCTTAGAGTCAACATAGCACTTGCCTATAATGTTCTGTTGGCCTATTTTTGTTTCTTTCAATAGCATCATAAACTCCTTACAGGCAAGGAGCTTCCATTTAGTTTATGTTCATACATGGATTAACATGGTTTTAGGGCATATTGTATGAACTAAATACATGCCTGAGGATTGCTTGATCTATAGTGGTTTTTTTTTAAAATAAAAATAACCCTAAATTTTACAACTACAGAAATTATGTAGTACAAAGCACTTCGTTTTATGATATTGCCTTCCACTAAATCATATGTTAATATTTCCATTACAGGCCAGAAAAATGTTTCAGACAACTTGGTAAAACCAACCCTAACTATTAAGACCTTTCATGGATTTCCCCCAAATTCTTTTGAAGATATCCCCCCCTCTGCCATAGAAGGCTGGACAGGAGCCACCACAACTATAAAAAGGAAGTGCCCTGATGAAACTGCTTCAACTCTCCATGTGAATAATGTGACCATGGGGTACCTGCGAAGTTCCTTAAGTACCAAGCTGATACCTGCCATCTATATCCTGGTATTTGTGATTGGTGTGCCAGCCAATGTTGTGACCCTGTGGAATATCTTCTTTGTGACCAGATCCACTCGTTTGACTATCTTCTACACCAACTTGGCCATAGCAGATCTTCTTTTTTTAATGACACTGCCATTTAAGATAGCTTACCATTTCAATGGGAACAACTGGGTATTTGGAGAAGTCATGTGCCGGGCCATCACAGTCATCTTTTATGGTAACATATATTGTTCCATTCTGCTCCTTGCCTGCATGAGCCTTAACCGATACCTGGCCATTGTCCATCCTTTCATATACCAAAGACTGCCCAAGCGCACCTATTTTTTGCTAGCATGTGGACTGGTGTGGATAACGGTTTTCTTATATATGCTGCCATTTTTCATTATGAAGCAGAAATATTATCTTCCCCAGCTGGATATCACCACCTGCCATGATGTCTACAACACATGTGAGAAGTCTTCACCTCTCTTCCAGTTCTACTACTTTATCTCCTTAGCTTTTTTTGGATTCTTAATTCCATTTGTGGTTATAATCTACTGCTATACAAACATCATCCACAAACTTGGAACATATGATCATAGATGGTTGAGTTATATCAAGGCAAGTCTCCTTATCCTTGTGATTTTTACCATTTGCTTTGCTCCAAGCAATATTATACTCATCATCCACCATGCGACCTACTACTACAACACTACTGATGGCTTATATGGTGCCTATCTCATAGCTCTATGCCTGAGTAGCCTAAATAGTTGCCTAGATCCATTCCTTTATTTTCTCATGTCAAAAATTGTAGATCACTGCACTTCTTAAGAGTTGTGAGATCATTTTAAGATCATGGAAAGCTATCTGTGAAAATACACATAGTTAGGACAACATATGCAAAGTGTAAGGAGCTCTATTCTCTAGCTCCACTTTTTTACCTTCTAAGAAATAATGCTTCAAATATCAAATGTTACAAAAGTACTAATAATTGGGGCTGGGGCTGTGGCTCAGTGGTAGAGCACTTGCCTAGCATGTGGGAGGCACTAGGTTCAATCCTCAGCACCACATAAAAACAAATGATTGCTTTCAGGAATATTATACAGCATTTGATTGAGTTGGAACTATTTAAGGTACGGAGCAAATGTGGTGATGTACAACTCTTCCTAACACAGGTGTCTTAGAAGTACAAGATAAGCTTATTTCTAGGTTCTTGTGTGTTTGAAAAATAAAATTGCAATTTGACACACACACACGAAAAATAAACAAATAAAATAAAGGTGTTTTTAAAAAAAGTACTAATAATTATTTTTTAAAAATACTTCATACTTCAGTATTTTAAGAATGTTAATGAGGAGAAAAGTTTGATGAATCTGCTTCAACTCTCCATGTGAATAATGTGACCATGTACCTGCAAAGTTCCTTAAGTACCAACCTGATATCTGCCATCTATATCTTGGTGTTGTGAGTGGTGTGCCAGCCAATGCTATGACCCTGTGGAACACCTTCTTTGTGACCAGATCCACTCATTTGACTATCTTTCACACCAACTTGGCCATTGTAGATCTTCTTTTCTTAATGATGCTGCTATTTAAGATAGCTTACCATATCAATGGGAACAACTGGGTATCTGGAGAAGTCATATGCCAGGCCATCACAGTCATTGAACTAGTCAAACTTTTTACTTTGCCATGTCAAACCTTTTGTCAAACCTTTTGCTTTGCCATGAAGTTAATTTTTCCTCTTTTTACCCCTGCCTCTGCTGGAAAACTAGTTTTAACATCTTAGCCTTAATTCTGTCCATTTCTGGAAGTCCTCAAAGGACAGTCCTTGCCAGATACTTACGTTAGAAGTGTCATTTTTCTCAACTTCCAAAGCACTTTCTTATACTTTCTATTATATATAGATATTATGTATAGTACAATTTATACAAATATTAGTTCCACAAACAATTAAGCACTATGTACAGTAGGCCCTCTATATCTGTGGGCTCCACATTTGCAGATTCAACCAACTATGGATCCAAAACATTTTTAAAAAACACTACCTCCAGGCTGGGGCTATGGCTCAATGGTAGTGCACTTGCCTGACATTCGTGAGGCACTGGGTTCAAGTCTCAGCACCAAATATAAATAAATAAAATAAATAAATAAAAGTCAATCAACAAATATTTTTTTAAAAAAAGACTACCTCTGTATTGAACTCGTACAGACTTTCCCCTTGTTGTCACTCCCTTAACAATACAACATAACAACTATTCACATAGTGTGTACATTTTACATGTTTTGTACATCATGTGGTCAAATAAGTGAAAGAATAAAATCCCCAGACATCTAAATAGCATGGAAACTCATTCAATTCACCTGGAAGAGGCAATATACTCTGTATGAGATGACCTCATTTCTGGTTGGGCATTTTTAAAACAAAAAAGCAAGGGAGTTAAACTAAGAATATACTCATAGGTCATTTAGAGGTTTAAAATAGTGCCTCTATTTTTCTTCCTTCAATTTTGTCCCCCAAAGAAAAGAGATATTATGTTATAAACTTTCAGTATATTTCCATTGGTAAATAACTACATTTCTCTTGACTTAGGGATAAGATAGGAGGTGAAATTAGAGCTTAATAGTGGGATATTATTAGAGAATACAAATAAGTTTCATGTTAATCATGAAGCAAAGCACTACTGTGAAGAATTTATGAAGTATGTAGGAATGGGTACAAAAACAGTAAAAAAATTTCATTGCATACTTTTGAATAAACAGGATTTCATATTTCATTGGACTTAGTTAAAAAAATCTTGCACATGAAGATTGTTAACAGTATGTGTATGGTTATGTAAAGAGTAAAAATCTGGCAAACATTAGAGCAAGCAAAGAAAAACAAATCTAAAATAAGTTTCAAGATTCCAAAAAATGCAGCAATATTCACTTGTTAAATGCATACCTAATCTGTATAGAGTAAATATACAAGGAGTAAATCAGAACTTTTTGGTGGAGTGTATTTCATATGCTGTCAGACAAAGCCTTCCATTTTAAAATTGCTCACAATTCACTGCCTCTAGTGGATAGACAAAAAAAAAAAAAAATGTGTTCTACTCTGCTACATGTATATCAATTTTGTCCCCAAAAGAAAAAAAAATTTTGCCTACACAAAGTTACACTGTTAAAAAGGATCAAGAATCCTCACTAACTTACATCACTGTTCCCAATCTTTGAGCATCCTTTTGTGAAGATGTTATCCATTGTGATCTTTAATGGTTATATATTTTGTAACATCTTTTCCCATAGTAATAATACCAGCAATGTAATTCTCTTCTATTATTTTTCAAGTTCAATCTTTGGAAAAACAAGGCACTGAAATACCACCCTATAAAAAGACACTAGAAATTTCCATCAATCAAAACATTATGTTTTAAAAAAAAAAAGTCTCAGCCAAACAAACAAAAAGATTTTTCCAGGGAAAAGAACAGACTGAGAAAAGTTTAAAATATAATGGACTTCAGAGTACCTTGGCAGATACTTATAAACCAAAATTTGGGTCCTGAGGCAGAAGGATTGCAAATTTGAGGTCAGCTTTAGCAACTTAGTGACACCCTGTCTCAAATTAAAAAATAAGAAGGGCTGAGGATGTAACTCAGTGGTAAGTGTCCCTGAGTTCAGTCCCTAGTGCCAAAATTAAGTAAGTAAGTAAGTAAGTAAATAAATAATAATGAACTGAGAACGTAAACTGTATTTAAAAATAGTAATTTAATCAAACGAGTAATTCCTTGAAATTTTAGTGTTTTGAATTTGTCAGCAATGGACAATATAGTTCAAGCCCCTAGTTTCATAGGTCAAAAATGTTTTGACTTCTGAGGTAGCATCAGATCCCTGTCCTCCATATTTAAAACTCTGATTGCACCACTGAGGCTGCAGCTTCCACACGTAGGAAGCCTGCCCAATAGAGGAAATTGGAGGCTTCTGAGTGTTCATCTTGTTCTAAAGCTTTCAACTGGAATGCTCTGGAGAGGGCCTATAGCGCCTGTAAAAGTTCTTGGCCATGTGATGTTGGGCTCACCTCAAAAGACAAATACCCATTGTAGGCAGAGAAGAACCGAGGTGTGTTGACAGAGCAGATCCTGTGTCCAGTAAGGACCCTATGATATGATATAGACATTACTCACCCCAACTTGGAAGGTAGCCAGCCACAGGTGCTTATACTACTTGCTATATTATTTAAGCTGGGTTTTTCTTTGTTTGGTGGGGGAACACTGCCAGGTTTCATGCTAAATGCTGTAACTGTATGTGTGTGTGTGTGTGTGTGTGTACACACAAATGTTTATAATTAATGTTATTATATGTAATTATTGGTCATATACTATTACTGTATATATTTTATATAATTTCATTTAACTCTCATTATAATCCTGTAAGACAGGTATCATGTTTACTTTACACATTTGAAAATAAGCATATAGAGATGTGGTAACCTGACCTAGGTCCCATAGCCAGGATCTAAATGGTGCCTGTCTTCAAGACAAATAATTTTCTCTTTCAATGTTGACAAGTTTGCCTTATAGCATGGACACAGCCACCTCCATGGGAACAGCAAGAAGCCCCATCATCTCTCCCTGGATGTGGGGACATGAGACTTGGGTTTGGGTCCTCACTCTTCCATTCAATGGCAGTATCTGGCCAAGCACTCATTCTGAAACTCAATCTACATCAGGTGAGAGCACCACTCCACAGCTGCTGTGGCAGATTTCCATGAAATGAGAAAGCACTTTGTAAGGCAATTCTGCTGGAAGGCCAGAAGGCCCCACCCTGGGGCATCATTTCCTCCAAGTGAGCAAGATATACTTTGGTCTTTAAAGGTTTAGAAACACTCAGTGTTTCCTAAAAACACACTCTAAAAATTTAAAAATCCAAACAGTAGAAAGACAGAGAAAAAGAAGTCTCCCATCTCCTTCAGTCTTCTAGTTCATATTCTAGAAGTCATCTCCTTCCAGAAATATTTCATACATAGATAAGTGTGCATGTCTCCTGCTCCCATTGATATGTCTCTCATTTTTATGTAGAAGCATGCATTTTTTACCTTAAAACATTTAAGTAATTTTTGGTCTTTTGTTATTGCAAATAAAGGTGCAATAGACATCTCTTTCCATCTGTCTGAATGCACAGCAATGTTATTTCTGAATCGTGCAGGCCTGGGTTGTGGTCCCAGAACTAATTGTCTTTTGGATGGCTTTGGACAAGTGATTTAAGTTTTGCTTTATGATCCATAAGAGGGCAATAATGATGGTGAAAGGAGACTTTCCTGCTTTGTTGAGAGAATTATATGAGATAATATACATAAAATACTATCATGCCTAACAATAGTTGCTCAATCAGTGCTTTTTTTCTAACCAAGGATATTTTTCCTATCTTAGATGAGGTAGTTCTTAGGGTCTAAAGACTTATACACAGAAGATATCTACCCTTTCACCTGGGGACATGTCAACCACCAGTGGCTAAGTCCCAGGTAGTACCACCCTCCCTCTCAGGTAACAGGTCATACAGGTTTCAACACTCATCCAAGCACAATTCTAAAAGTGGCCAATCTCTACACAAGCTTGCATCCACTGTTCTTCAAGAGCAAGTCAGCCAGGCAAGCTACCTACCATGCTCAGACCAAAAGATGCTGGTTCCCAGTGAGCACTGAAGTACCTGACTACATCATGCTGTAGACCACCCACCTACCCAACTCTTTCTCACCCTTTTGCCTCAGCTACAGTCCTTCCTCTGTGGTAACTTCTCTTTAGAGTCTAGACCATAACAATCCCAACCATCTCTCAATCTCTTTTTCATTTCACTACACAGTCATTTCTTCTGTTTAATTGCTCTATGAAAGAATGCATACTACCTCAGTAAGTTCCTAAGTATGTTGTGGATCAGAACAGAGAACACCCAAATGGTACCGTGCATCTTTATCCCCTCTTCCCTATCAAAGGCTATGTACTGTACTATGCACACAGCATATACTTGAGAAAGATCCAAGAATTGGATTCAAAACAAGAAGTCACCTGCAACTGAGTTTTTAGTGAAAGAATAGAAGCAGTAATCATCTCTGGAGCTAGCATTCCCTTAAAGTTTAGTACCAGGAAAAGAATAGCCTTTTGATTTTGAATTTCCATTTTGATTCACTAGGAAAAAAAATTTATGAAATTTAAAATAAAAAATCTTCCCTCTTGTTCCCAACCTTGCCTGTAAACTTAAAAGAAACAAATATACT